CTTTTATTTCACAGCAACAAAAGAAGTACCAGCAGATAAAGAGGTCCACCATTGTGATGCAGTCCTTCATCAGAGGGTGGAAGGTACGTGGCTCTTCTTCTCCCACTCACCTCCATCTGACTCACAGCGACCCCTGCTGGGCAACAGCATTAACAGCACACATAGTATAATGTTACTTCAATCTCACAAGTGGGGAAGATTTTTGGTAGATTGTTTTACATTCCCTTAGTATTTGTTCTCATTGTTGTTTTATTAAACACTTTAGAGCATGGATGTTCATTCCTGACCTTGGATGAGGGTTTTTATTCCAACTATGCTCTTTAATGAGACAATTTAACCAATTACGGTCTTGATCAGGCCAATTGAGCAGTTTCTCCTAGCTTTTCAGGTGGTTTGAAGAGACTTAGAAAACCTGAAGATACACAAGACCAAGACTGGACTGCTCTGAAAGGTTTACAGTAAAGTAAAATAAATCGAAATGCAGCTGAATACATCTCCAGAAAACGACTGACGTTTTGATTTTTTTTTTGTGAAGAGACTTTAAGCGCATCCGGTTCCGACATGTTTTTTTCACTGAAACCTGCTAGAACGTTCTGGAAATTGTTCAGAACCGCCTTCGCTCATCCTGCAGAGTCTGTCTTCTCTAGCCAGGGGGCAAACCGAATGATTCTGGGATTCAGAGACGGAAAATGACGGGGAGGGGGAGGTTTCTAGTTTAAGCCGCATCGTTTCCTCCCAGTTGGCACCTCAGTGTCCTTTCTTGTCCTTCTCTCCTCCAGTCTCGTAAGATCCTGCGAGAGCTGAAGTACCAGAAGAGGTGCCAGGAGGCCGTCACCACCATCGCGGCCTACTGGCACGGGACTCAGGTAAAAGCGCGCCTGCGTCTGTCTGCTCCATTTTGTGCTTAGCGTTTTGCCACAGTCTTATTTCCCTCCGTCAAGCGTGGAGCTGAAAAAACGGGCCCAGAGGCTGTTTCAGCTCATCAGTGGAAGGATACGTAGCAGGGCACCCTAACCCTTAAATGTGATAAGTCTCGGCAAAAGGAGCTTCGCTTAATGGAGAGCTGGGATGGGGGTGAAGGATGAATCAGTTTCTCTGTCATTGCACTGCCACGGGCCTAAAATAGAAGAAAAACTCCCTAGGAGGAAGCTGTTCCCAAGAACCCTACAGTGAAGTGAGGGGTTAGCTGTAGAATGCAACCTAGAGTGTTTAAAAAAAAAAAGAAATCGGGGAAGTGCTGTTTTTGCGTTGGGATAAACCTGCCTTTTCTCCATCCTTCTGCCTGTCTCTGCGGCTGTGGGCTGCCTGTTCTCACTGCTTCTCTCCCTGTCTCCTCCTCCTCTCACTTTAACCCCACCCCACCGCCGTGACCCCGCCCCCAGGCCCGGCAGGAGCTGCGGCGCCTGAAGGAGGAAGTGCGGAGTAAGCACGCGGTCTCTGTCATTTGGGCTTCCTGGCAGGGGATGAAGGTATTGAGGGACCTGCCATTCAGCATTTACCATCCTCCAAATTCCCTACTGACCATCAGTTACCCCCCCCGCCAATCACCCAGCGATTCGCTTTCCCATCCATAAACTCTGCCCCCTGGCCACACCTCTCCTCCCTGTCGTCACGGTGACATCCTCTAACATTACCCATTACCCAGAATGCTTGTTCACTGCGCATCTCTTGCTTTTCCAGTTGTCCTGTGGGGAAATTCATTGCAAACTGGGGGAAAAAAAGGCTCCACTAACCATTTCAATAATCCAACTAACCTTTAACTCTTTTCCATAGACTAATTATGTTGATACAGTTAATAAAATGTTTGTTTTTTTTGTTGAATACATTTTTTCCTCACACATTTACCAGTGTAGAATGTGTTATGTTGGGTTTGTGTTTTCTTTTTCCAGGAACAATATTTTTGTGGCCCCAAATTTTCCACATGGTTTTTAAAAACTGAATGCAGTCTTTCATCGGCCTTTTTCTGCAGTTCAAACTGACAAGACTACAAACTAATTTCTGAGTGCACGTTGTATCTCGACACAAACATTTGACTCCACAGGGACAAACCTACAAGTCCTGATTACTTAGCAGTTGAGTCCACGTCGGCTCTCACAGGCTACTGTATTAATCATGCTGAAGAAGAATAAAAGAAACCGCTCCAGCAAAATCTGAAATGGATCAGACTGCTGTACGCTGGGATTTTTAGTGTGATACATTTGTACAAATAAGACCTTGATCCCGGTGTCAAGGACAACACTGCTCCAGTCAGGGGTCATGGCTTTATTCTGCTCCTTTGTCAGCAGCAGATTGCCATCTGTAAGTGGCGTAGCACTCTGTGTTGGTTCACATGGTCACCATACTGCGAGTACCTCCAGTGATCTTTCTGAGGATCCGCAGTGTGACCACTGTAGTTCCCAATACTCTTTTGAAGTTTTTGCAGTGTTAGATTCAGAATTGTACCTGTGCTGGCTATAAGTGTGCTCCTCAGCACTAAACAGCTGCTGTAACGCAGCAGTGAGATCCAATCAAGGGACTGTATCCAGAATACGCCTGTTGGATTACATCATGTAAGGAGTATTGCTCCACTTTAAGCTTGCTTCAGCAGCTCTGTGAACTGGCTGATGACTTGAGTGAGCCTGCTGTGTTTCTACCTCTCTCCTTGTCTCCTCCCCCTCTTGCTCTGGCCCCTCCCCCTGGCTGTGCCGTGACCCCGCCCCCAGGCCCGGCGGGAGCTGAGGCGCCTGAAGGAGGAAGCGCGGAGTAAGCACGCGGTCTCTGTCATTTGGGCTTCCTGGCAGGGGACGAAGGTACAGAGGGGCCTGCTGGCCCTCACTCCCCTCATCTTCCCACCAACTCCCCTCATTCCCCATTCCCCTCAGAGCTGGTAGCTCCACTAGTCTCCCCGCATGGTGCTGGACCCCAGCTGGTAACCGGTAGCTGGCTCAGAGGTTTCCCCTTGAAGCCTTCTCTGTCCGGCTCTTGAGTCCCAGAGTGTATTTTTGGGAAGGTTTTCAAAGATATTTCTTCCGTTGCTTCATTTTATTTTCAAGCACCACTCGGGATTTTGTCAAAAAAGACGTTCCTTGTCTTTTCAATGCACAGTATCCTGCTGCATTTCCATATTCCTGCTGCTAGTCTTCTACATGTAGGATTCTGGGCAAATGAGGAGGGAGATTTGCCTCCTGTTTGATTCTGTCCCACGTGAGGTGTCCTGCAGGGCTCACTCGGATGCCTGCGCTAAAAGACTGACCTGTTTGCTCTAGACAGGGGATGATAGTTTAAACCGTCACCCAATCCTCTTAATTCTGCCGCGGTTGGATTACGGAGCACCCAGACGGGTTCCGCTCAGCTGAGGGTCTCATTCCTCTATGCTGAGCTGGGCTCCAGAGCGCCTCCCTGTGGACGCCGGGCGGAGATGCGCGAATGGTCCATCTCGCAGTGTTTTTAAGTGCCGCCCTGCAGCACAGGCCCGACCCTGGGCATCTCAGACCTGGCTCCGGCACGGGTGACCGCCCCCCTTCTGGCTCCACTTCCCCTATCTCGCTCTTTCTCTGCAGATTTCCTGTTCTTTCCAGATATAAACACATCTTAATATAAATAAACCCCGGCTCCTCGTTTGCATGCTTCCTCTTTTTATTGCTCTCTCATCCTCATCCTGTTCTTTTCTCATTGCCTAACCACCGCACTAAGAGCAAATACGTGGGTGCCTTTTAGTGGAGAATTATCATGCAGTTGAACAGCTTTTTTATTTAGAATAGGTAATGCACCCATCCCTTTGAAAATAGGAGGTTTGAATGCTTAGGTCTTATTTATTTGTTTGAAAGTTCAAGGGTTCTGTCTGATGATGTCCACTTATTTATCAATGGAGAGTCCTTTCCTTTCCAAGAGAAGACTCAAAGGCCCACGACCTCTGTATAAATGTATGGCTCTGGAGCTGTTGTTCTGCTTAATATAAAGAGCTCTGTCTTAAACAGAGGGACTGGCCTGATCGTCGGACCAGTCTGCCTGTCCTCACAAGTGCTGTATGTGGAAGGTCTTGCCCGTGAGACTCTGTACAGCCTCCCGACGCTGTCCTGTTTCCATTCCTCAGACGACCAGTGTTTCTCGCTCCCAGGATGCCATCAGTGTGGAGATTGTTGGTGGGGTTACTGGGGCGCCTGCTGCCTCTCCATTCCACAGGGCTTCAATGCAGTGTGGGAAGTTCCATAGGAAAATATCTGAAAAGGCTGTCTTGTGTCTCGCAGAATGTGAGGTTATATTTGGCTCCTTGATCCGTCTCAGTATGCCAAGCGTGGCTCTGCCCACATTGCTGAATGCCCTGTGCTGTAATGGACCCAATTCAGATGGAGAGTGGAGCAGCTTCATTTCTGCCCTCTCCCCTGTGTTTCAATCCCTCTCTCCCTTGGTTCTTTGCCACCTCTCCAGGCACGCAGAGAGCTGAGGCGCCTGAAGGAGGAGGCCAGGCGCAAACACGCTGTTGCGGTCATTTGGGCTTACTGGTTGGGACTCAAGGTACCTTCTGTCCCCCTGCCTGGGCCGGCGGGGGGTGGACAGGCAGGCAGCAGCTGTTCCCGAGCGAACCGTCCCCTTCATGGGCTCCGAGGGGATCGGCCCACCCCTGCCTCCAGAGTTTACAACTGCAACACTTCAGCAGCTTAATTTGTGAAGCAAAACATGAACTAAGCCAAAGGCATCCATCGAACCTGCCCAGATGGAGGGGCGCAGTGCACACCGAGCTGCCCACAGTCCCCCAGTGATGCACGTTTGGCGTCTTTGCTGTCACATTGAATATGCTCATGCTGTGTAAAGCTGAATTAAATCTGCTCGGATAATCCGGTGCTTCAGATAATCTGGCCCGGGATAATTGAGTGGCAGCTGCTTTTAGAAAACCTACACTGTAGTTCTCTCGCTGCTGGTTGCTCCCCCAGAGAAACTCTGATTTTTGATACCGGCTGAGTGCCTGCCTGCCTGTCTGTCTGTCGATCTGTCTGGTACACCTGCTGTATCTCAGACCAAGTGCACAACTGCACCCTGTCCTCACTGTGTCCTACTAACACGGAGAAGTCCTTACTCAGCCATGCAGGAGACAGTCACCGTCCCTGCCTGCTCGTCACAACTGTGTTCGGGGCTTGCTGTGTGTCATTGCGTCCTAGTGGGTGGGTTTCCAACAACTCATCACATCATGTTGCATTTTCCTCTTTTTCCTTTTATAGCAGAGGTAAATCTATCCATGTCCGAATACTTTGCTGGAAGAGCCCTTGGGTACTTTATGGTAGAATCATCCATTTCAGATAATTTCCTTTTCTCATACAGCAACGCACATCTCGGGACATTTGAGGGAAGTAACAGATTATACAGGGACTCCTGGGACAACCTGAGCGAACAATTTTTAAAGCTATTCTTTTCGTTCCAGAACCTGGTTTATAGAGCAGATCTAAGCCCATGCTATATGAAATTCTGTCAATTGGCTACGTGGTATAAATACTTTGATATTATTTTTAGAACGGGGATCCCAGCGCTGACCCATGATGCACTCCTTTTTACAGTGTCATGTGTGTGGGGAATGGCAGGATCATCGGTGTTTAACTAGGGACTTTTTTACATAATCCCACAGAAAGTACCTAAGAGCTGTTCTTAAATGCTTCTTAAATGTAGTAATTGTTTTCGTTGTTGCAGAAGATAACATTTTTTATTGTGTGACTAACCCTGTCTGGTGCTTTAACATCTGTCAAGACCTCCATCCTGTGCCACAGTCCACGTTGTCCTGCACATGTCTTGTCATCGTCGCCATCATCATCATCATCATCATCATTTCCATCTCTGTGGGGATCATGCTCTTTCACAGGCGAGAGCCCTGTCTTTTGTCATTGCCTCATTTCCTCCTCTTTTGTGTGCAGGTTCGTCGGGAATACAGGAAGTTCTTCCGGGCAAATGCTGGCAAAAAGATCTATGAGTTCACTATCCAGAGAATTGTGAGTGATGACTCTTTTTTTCTCCTTCGCCGGAGCCTTCTTAGGACAATGGTGGGAATGTGTAATAATACATGAAGTAAAATTGTGCTCCTGCCTGCCCTTTAATTAGGTTCTGTTTTTCCTTTGTCACAGTCGAGAATCAGTCCCTAACATTCTTAGAGCAGAGAGCAAACTGCAAATTTGAAAAGAAAAAGGTTGAGCTGGAAACAGTCATCTAGGCTGGTATGAATTTCTGAGAGAGAGAGCATTCCACATGTTAGGAGCTCAGCAGCTGAATCCTCCAGAGAGCCACAGTGGTTAAGATGGGCTCTTGCAAATGTTAGCAGACTGGCTATGGTTTCTCATGGTGTTACTGGGTTGGGTCCTTATTTTAGATGCAGAAGTACTTCCTGGAGCTGAAGAACAAGATGCCCTCGATGTCGCCGATTGACAAGAGCTGGCCAGCCAGGCCCTACATCTTTCTGGAGGGGACCCACAAGGAGCTGAGGAGGATCTTCCACCTCTGGAGAGTGAGCACACTCCAGATGCAGACCCTGAGCACACCTGCGCACACACGCACACACGCACGCACTACACTGTAAAAAAGGCGCCATCCTTTGGATGAGACATAAAACTGAGGTCCTACCTCTCTGTGGTCATTAAAAATCCCAGGGCATTATCCCTGGTCTCCTGGCCAAATTTCCCCCTTGACCTTTACCATGGCCTCATGTCAGGGCCATAGGAGTCATGGCCTCCTAATAATCCCCATCTCTGATCTGGCCTCATCACTCTGTTCTCCTCCCCACTGGGAGCTGATGTGTGGGGAGAGTACTGGTGCACTCTGGCTACAGTCACATGATTTAGGTGGGGCTGCACACTGGTGTTGGTGGAGGGGAATCCCCATTACCTGTAAAGCACTTTGAATGGAGTGCTTTAAACTGAGCACTGAGCAGAATGCTCATTCCGTAAGGAAGAAGGGATAGTGTGTGCAAGAGCTGTGGAGTGGAGCCAGAACCTTAGTCATCTATATTTGTAAAGCTTTCGATACTGTTGATTGTGTATGTTTTTAACAGATCATTATGTGAAAAGCTTAGTCTTTCCCCCTAACCAAACAGCTTGTCTCTGTAAATAGTGTGTGCTTACATCATCTTAAAGTTTAGAACAGGGACTTCACAAGGGTTCTGAGATAGTGTCTAGTTTGAATTCTGGATTTCCCCTCTGAAATAGTCACCCTGAATGCCTTGTTTGTTACTGTCCGTACTGTATGTAGTTGTCTTAAATCGCAATTGTTTGTTGTGTGATTGTTTTATGGAAGTATATTGTTGAATAAGCAGTGTAAAACATGTAAATAGACCACCCTGTTTAACAATTAATCTCTGGGGGGTATTTTCTACTTTTAATACATTTCTGGTCATCTTTTTTTATGGGATTAGATTATGAAATGCAGCCCCGATCATTCTTTTCAAGACAGAATTCAAGATTTTAATTTCTTTGTGCGTCATTATTCATTATTTTCAGTGCAAGAAATACAAAAGCCAGTTTACGGAGCAAAAGAAAGTGATCTATGAGGAGAAACTGGAGGCCAGTGAGCTTTTTAAGGACAAGAAGGCACTGTACCTCAGCAGGTAAGGAGCACAGCAGACCACCTCATCTCAAATGTCACAACTGGTAATGTACAGTAATGCAGGTAATGTGTCAAAGATGTGTTGATATGTCATACGTATGTAGTATAGGGCAGTGATTAGTGTAGACAACGCAGTGTAAGTCATTACTTGGATTATGAAGTCAGCCGAGGCCTCCTCTCTGTTTAAACATGCTGGAGAGTGATTTCCTTTAAGCACGACTCTGCGCTCTGAACCTAAGCGCGACTGATGCACTGTTGTCCCCTGGCCTGACCTGGAGTGTTTGTGTCTCTGGCAGCGTCAGCCAGCCGTTCAAAGGCGACTATCTGGAAATCAGCAAGAATCCCAAATACCAGAAACTCAGCAGCGCGGTGGAGGAGAAGATCATCCTGGCGGACACCGTTAACAAAGTCAACCGGGCCAATGGCAAGGCAAGGGATGGCCCGTATCCTCTCGTGCGCTGGGCCTGCACGTCCAGCTTTGTGGAAGAAGGGTTCACGCCGTACTCCTGCGAGCCTGGCTTTGGCAGATCGGGGGTGGTCCTGCGTTAGTTGTACTGCAGCAGCTCAGTGGTGTCTGGTTCTGTGGAAATGAGGAGGAAATATTGTGAGGAGGGTGGTGGTGGAAGGAGGAGTCTAGGAGCATGGGGCATAGTCCCATTCATATTTAGAGCACAGGAAAACACTTGTATGCAGATGCACAGCAGTCCCGCTGATGTAATAAGCCCTGAACAGTTGCTGATAGAGAAGCGATCTCTGATACTCTCTTATTGTAAGAAGTGCCTGAGATACTTGGATCAATTAGATATTAGCTACCAAACAGGCTAGGAGGGCCTAATGGCATCCTCTCATTTGTAACCTTTTTCATGCTCTTATCAATGCAATGCTGAATTCAAGAGCATCTCCAATCAATTGGCTGTTACGAAATGGGCTAGGTGGGTTGCATGTATGTGCTCTGTGCTTCCCCAAGCCTTGCATGTCTGTACATTTGCCCCTCTTTATTATACAGACCCAAGCGCTAATCAAATGGACATTGCAGATACAGAGATGACAGATCTGTGGTAACATTCCTCCCATGCAGGACCTGGACATTGCTGTGTTGTGAGAATAGTCAGATATTCGCTGTGTTTAGGGACTGCTCCACGCAGTACAGCGGGCCTCCATGTAATGTGTCACTGCTGTCCCCAGGGGGCACCTCGGATTTTCCTCCTGACCAAGAGCAACTTCATCCTGGCGGATCCGAAGTCGGGTCAGATCAAGTCCAGTGTCCCCCTAGAAGACATCACCAGTGTGTCCGTCAGCACGCAGAGCGATGGCTTCTTTGCACTGCGCCTCAAGGAGGTAAGAGCTTCGCGCCCAAGCCCACAAGTCCAGGGAGAACAGGTCTACATGTGCTGGGGATGGAAGGTGGGCTTGTCACCCCCAATCAAAAGCGTAGTCAAAACACGTCAGAATTTGGAGTGCAAAAGAACCAGCTGCACTCAATGTGTATTTTGATCTGTCTTGCCTTCTGCAGTACACGGTTCATTTTGCTGTAACAATCCAGAAAGCTGGACAAATTTTAGACAGCTGATCAAGATTACTGTATGATTGTGCACGTGTGTGCATGCAGTACACTTCAAGTGCACACAACTAAATGCACACAAAGCTATCTTGTCATACCGAGGATGTAGATTGTGTAAGGTGAAGGGAATCTGGCAATGCAGAGACCTGCTCTGTCTCGGGATGTCTGTTGTAAGTAAGTCAAGCAAAACAAAGGCAGACATTCTGCGAAAAGACAGATTCCTTGATTGCCAGGTTTACCTTTATCTACCTGGAACACTTCATGCATACTGTACATCTACTGATCCTCTCCTTAGTCAGTAGTTGCACTGACTATTGTTGTTGGCCAGGAATCGAAGTCATCAGATGGAACCCGGCCTCCATCAGGCGTTTTGACTCTTATCCATAATGCCCTTTTGCTCGAGGTCAGCAGTGATAGCTCCTGTCCTCCTGGCCTCCAGTTTGACTCCTCTCTAATGTTCCAGAGCCAGAATGAGGCTCACTCTCCCCGCTGCCTCTCCCAAACTTCGACCTGCTGTCTTTTTGTCCCTCCCCGTCGGCCCAACAGCTGTCAGCTCTCTCCACACCGATTGTGCAGGGAATCCTGTGATTCCAGCCTGAAACATGCTTGCCAGTGTCACCTATCTAGGATGCAATTGAAAATGGAATCCCCCCAGCGAATTCCCAGATGTTCCTGCTGAAGGACGCCCACTTCACCCGGAAACATCACGTTCCCCGTCTCTCTGCAGGGCTCTGCCGCGGCTCTGAAGGGGGACTTCCTGCTGAGCAGCGAGCGCCTGATCGAGATCGTCACCAAGCTGCACCGCAGCGGGGCGGGCGGGGACAGGCCCCAGATCGGCGTCGACATCGTGGATGAGTACGCCCAGTTCCTCCTCCTCGCCGATCTGCAATTTCTCTTTATTACCGATGTGTGCTAGGCATGCATTCATTGTTCAGTTTTTATAATCCCTGAATAATTAATTAATAATAATATCATCATCATCATCAAGCACATGAGGTCCCATAGCGCTGTTAGGAAGTTGTGTTCATTTTTATTGAGGATAAAAGTCATATGCAAATGCAATTGACAAATTGTAATTATCCTACCATATTTGGAATGCTTTCATTCTCTCTGCCAGCGAAATGTCCTGCCGCTCTTTGCTGCCTTGTGTTTTGGGGTGCTGGGGTTCCTCACCCTCGCGCTGCCGTCTGCTCGCTCCCCCTGCAGGTTCCTCGTGCAGTTCAAGCAAGACAAGGTGTGCGTGAAGTTCATCCCGGGCGGGCCCAAGAACGGAAACAGCGCCACCTGCCGGCGGAAGAACAACCGCCTGCTGGAGGTGGCGGTGCCCTCGCCGTAGAGGGGGGGGGCGGCCGGCGCTTCTCTGGGACTGCTCGTGGTTACTGTGCAATTCTCCGTTTTCCTCTTCTTTTTAAAATCCTTTTATCTCCATGTGCGCTGCCACACGATGAAGAAGATACCAATCCACTGCTTGGCGACGAGACAAGAATGCTGTTCAGGTGCATATATATATATAGAGAGAGAGAATCAAGAGAAAGAAAAAAGGTCTTCAGCAGGAACAGATGACTGTGGTTAGTGGCGAGTGTGATTTTTCTAATGATGATAATGATCCATTAGCTCCCGGTCCTGCTGAAGCTGCTTTTCCTGCCCTTAACCATTCAGCACATCCAGAAACACTCTCTCATGCTGCACGTGGAGGATTCAGAGACCTGCTCTGGAGGATGAGCCTGCAGGTGGTTTAAGTTAGCCTCCTGGTTAAGAATTGCCAGACTGGACTGTCAGGGGCCATTAGAGGAAACTGAAAGGAATTGTCAGACTGCCTGGAATTCAGCTCACAGGTTACGAATTCAAAACGCGCACCTGTTCCTCATCTTTGTGTGTAAAGGAACCTGGATCATGCTCTTTCTCGGCTTTGTGTTTAGTTGTGCCCATGTGGGGTATATTGCATGCACATGCGTGCACGGTTGTACAGCATTTGTGATCTGTTAAGTAAATTTGTCCCGCTTTCTGGATTGTTACAGCAAAGTGTACTGTATATTGCAGAAGGCAGTACAGATCTAACTACACATGAGCACAGTTGGTTCCTTTGTATTCAGAATTCTGGCGCGTTGTGTGTAACACTGACAGTAGGAGCTGTTTATAAACCTAAACCCTGTTTAAGCGGATAATTATCTGCTAGCACTATAAACATGCCATTAGAAGGTTTTCAGCTTCTCATATTTTTCTTATATTTTGCTGTAATCCTTAAATATTTCGAACGTTGCTTTCTTAACCCTTTTTGCAAAGCTGTACCAATCAGAATTCACTATAAAAATGGTGTCCGGAAACCGGTTCTGAGGAATCCCGATACAAGAGAAAGGGCTTTGAATGAGAACCTTAGAGGCGTTAATAAAATCCTTGTTGTAGCTCTTTAACTTTGTTTTTTTGCCATTTTACTGTTGTGGTAAGATTTGTTGAGTTCAGAGAGGGTTAACACAGCCTCAAGATTGCCTGTTCCCTGCATGTCTGCATGACTTCTACTTAGTGGGCGTCTTTCTCAGGACTTCTGCTTAACCGTTGTAACTTTGTGTAAAAGAAATAGGACACAGTCCTGGGCTGAGATGTGAATTTTACCCGTGAGGGTCAGTAGAAGATCACACTTCGAAAGCCAGCGGGTTCAGAATACAATCTATCGCAGCAGGACACTCGCCTACTCGTTCTCCAGTGTAAACTGCTCAATGTGTTGTGATCTGCAGAATTCCGGGTTTTGGTATTAATGACCGGATATGAAACAGTGGTTTATTTTTAGCTGAGTTGCAAATCTTAATATTTTAATGCTTTGTCCTGGACCAGATCCATGTTTCTATGGCTGCCCATCCACTGTACCCAAGAGAGCAGGGTTACTGCCGATGAACCAACTCAAAGACGCTGTTCTAGATAGTTTTTTTTTGTTGCCGATTTTAACTTAAAATGTAATGCACAGTTACCTTATGTATACCAGTGTAAGTAATCAAAGGTGCATTTTATACTGAAGAATATTTAAAATGCAGTCTTTTCATGGTCATTTTCTGGTAATAATTTTTCTCAAACTTTTCTGACAGTTTCTTGCAAAGATTCTCAGATTTTTATTCCTTCCTTACTCATGCAGGTGTGCCTACTTGACATGTTGACTTTCATTCTTAACAGTCCCAGTGAGGGGGAATGTTTCTACTGGTAGATGAATGGGAAAAGAAAGGCTGTGCTGAACCTTAATCTTTTGCTTCAGGACTTCGTGGTTTGAAATTCCAGTGCGGTATGCTATCATTGCCCTGTCTTGTCTCTTATTTAAAAAAAAACAACAACAAATGTTGTACGCATTCTTGTTTTGTGCCTAATGTAACCTGTACTGCAAAACAGATAAAGTGATTCAGTAGAATTCAGTGTAACAAAACTACAATTAATCTTTTTATAAATTAAAATAACAAAAACCCAGCTAGTTTGAGAGGTTTATTTTAACCACAGTTGCGGACTTACAGCTAGATTTGGGACCCTTGGTTATAAATGAACTGTGATCTAGTACAGAGAGTACATTTCCTTGACTTCCCTTTTAGGCATTCATCGGTACTTGGAGACTTTTGCCCAGTAGATATGAACTTTACAAAACACTGAAGAGACCCCCTGTGCTGAAGAGCCTAATGGGCTATTTCAGTGTTCTGGTACTTCAGCTGTGAGACTTCACTGTCCTGGCACCAAATTCAGCTGTGATCAAGACTTAAATGCACATTCCTGCGGCCTAGTTCTAAAATCTGTTGGTTTTTTTTTTGGGGGGTTGGGGGGGTTGTCTGTAAGATCTGCAGCTGCCCAGATGTTTTCCATCACATCTGGAGAGCTGTCCGGGGTTAAATTCCGTGGCTGTGTGGGGCTCCTGGCTGGCCGTCCCAGGAGACGGGACCCCCTGACAGATTGTACACTGCAGTTAAAAATAACGCGCAATTACTCCACAGGCTGCCTGGAGTTCCCACCGTCCTGCAGGCTGGGAAAGGAAAGAGAGGGTGAACCTCCAGCAGACCCCAGGCGCTCAGCCTTTGCTGTGGTAGTCTCCGCTGGGACTGCATGCTGATCGCTGCTTCGCTGCACTCCCCTGATTGAGGTTCTAATGTAGAGATCACTGAAGGCCTGAACTAAGTTGCAAGGGCTCATGGAATTGTCCTTGTAATTTTAATCTAAAGCATGTGACACATAGCACTACACAATTCAGGTCCCTGGGTGCAGCCTATCTATGGAGGGGAGGGGGGAGTTCTTATTTGATTCTCAGCCCTATAGCTCAGAGAAGCATAGCAGGGCTCAATTTAATTAAGAGTTGGGAGAAGCAGGCAAGCTTTTGAATAAATAAGTGTGTGAATGACAAATTGTAATGACTTGGTAAATGCCTCACTAAGACTGACTTGTAAACAAGTGATGTGGTCCTTGTTGCGAAAAGAATGAAACTTGTATGTCGAGAGTCTTTCTTGAGACGATTCACTGTTCGTCCTTGTGGACGTGAGCTGCCTGCTCTCGTTCGTTTGCAGACACAGAAACTTACTGAAGTGTTTACCTTGAGTTTCTGCCTCTCCAACCACAGTCCACCTTCAGTGCCCCATGAAGTGCCAGCTGTATCAGAAAAGCCTCTTACTCCTAGGGTACACGTCAGCATGAAGCATGAAGCACATGGCCCAGGAAGCACTTTGGAGTGAGTTTGCTTCTGCTCCATTTTGTGCCAGATGCACATTAGATCAACATCCAGGTTTCTCATTAAAGCACAGCCCTGCCTGTCAGAGAGTCTGGGCAGTGCAGGTGAGTGAAGGGCCATACCGTGCTATGGACAGCAGGATGTCCAGCTCAAGAGGGGGCTGCGGTATCGGTACACAGCTGTTCACAGCACCTGGGAGTTGCAGCCCCTCTGCTCCGCTGATGGACAGCAGGGAACCATTCACCACCCTTCCCCCTACACACTGGCCCCATTGCAGTGGCCCTGGAGTGCCTGCTGGTGAGTGAAGACAACGAGGCCGCCTTCTGTCAACTTCGCCTCCCTGCGATCCTGTGTGGCGAGGAACCCCTCCAGACACCTTCGGGATGCTCCAGATTGTATTTTATAAATTCCTTTTCCAGCACTGTGGTGATCGACTGGAAGTGTTTAAAATGAATTTAAAAGAGGAAAAAAAATAAAGAATTATTTTGCAATTCTTATTCTGTCCAGTTATTTTCTAAATGGCTCAGTTTAGGATCATATGGGAGCCGGAGCCCATCCCAGCGAACAACGGGCACAAGGCTAGGTACACCCTAGACAGGGCGCCAGTCCGGCGCAGGGCACACACACAAACATGTTCACACGCACACCAGTGCTAGTTTTCCCATACAGCAATTTTCCCCCAACTGTATCTTTGGACTGATGCTTGTTCCAGGTATTCAAATCTCCACTGTCCATAGTTCACCCAATTTTGCACCTGAAGAGAAACACTTGAGGGCCATTTGGCGTCATTGCGCTGCCAGAACTTTTAACGTTTCTATCTGTTCAAGGTAAGGGATAATTGGGTCCACAGACTGGTGTTTTCTGCACATTGTATTAGTTAAGCTCCTTTAAATAATATCCCAAAGGGAGAGAGAGCTTCCCCGGTGTTGGTAAATTACCGAACATTAACCTGAACAAAATACTGAACATCCCTGGGCTCCATAATTCATAAAAGGATGCCTGTCTGCAAGTGTGCTCTGAAACTTTTTTTATACATAGTTCAATCGTTTTAAGTGACTGGGGGAAGGCAAGTTCTAAACGACATTCCCAGTCGCATTTCTCCATTCGCAGCACAATCTAAACTCGTTTCCTTTGAAAACGTGTCACGTCTGCAGCTCCTTTTGCTGCTGAAGGTTATATGCGCGCACACAGTAGCAGAAGGCCAGAAATGCAGAATGATGGCTGATCAGCAGTTTCCTATGTGCATGTTAAATACCTGTCCAGTGTTTATTTTGTAAATAAATTATATTTTTCATGGTGGTTTCCCGGACAGATTGTACGACAGATCTTATTCCGTGACGCACGTTGAAAAATGTTTGAGGGGGGTTGGTGTGACGTATTCAAATATACATAAAAAGACTCTTTTGGCTCGTCTTAAAAATTCATTTCGTGGACTGTGAGCGTGGGTGTTAAACTCCTTTCTCACAAAGTATTACGGTAAGGTAAACCAAAATATTAACCCTGGCTTCACTTTTCACACGCTAATCTCCCTCCTTGTAATTACTTCTGGAGCCTCCCGGCTGCAAAACCATTCTCTCAGCTGTTGCTCAGGAAAGTTTCTCAACAGGAGTCAAGATATTAATGAAAGGTTGACCCTTGTGATACTTCGTAAGCTGGCTTCGAAACGCCCTTTTGTAACCAAAAATAGATCAATTTCACACAATGTGGCAGTGGAAATCTTTAAATTGTGATTTTAAGTTTGGTCTGCCCTCCCTCGTCTTCAGTGTACATCCGAATTAGTTTTCATCTGCTGCCATCTAGTGGACACTGGGGAAATCGGTGATTTGTCTAAAAACGTGGATCGAACATGAACCCGAAGTTTTTTTATTAAGATTTAAAAGCGTGTAATCAAGTCCTAAAATAAGTTGCTATTAACCACTGAAATAAAAAAAGGTTATTAATATTAATAAATGACAGAACGTGAATTCACTGAGGTAAAATTGACTTCAATCATTTACAATTAAAATGTATTCAGACGGTTTTGGACAACGCGTTACTCTTTTAACAATTATTTCGCGTTTGTGGTTTAGTATAAACTTTTGGCGCAAGAAGAAATAAATACTATAAATCCTAGTTCTGATTCTAATACTGACTGGGCATGCCAATTAATGTTGCTAAGAGACCACCGACGCCGGAGGAATTCCAAGAGTGTTCCCGGAAGTGCGTGGCCGAGGCTAGTCATGGCGGACCGGAGAAAGCAGCACGTAGAGACTATGTTAGTTTGGCTTTCTCCGGGGTACTTTCTCCTCGTACTGCTTCTTCTGCTTTCCTGCACAGCGGCGACGGCTGAAGCTGCGACCGGAGATGGTGCGTTCAGTGCCGGGCAGTCTGCGCACAGCGTTGCAGGTGCTGCCACCGTCGCCCGGAACATACGGTACAGTTGAATTACGGTGGGGGGCTCGGTGTCGGGATCGTCCCTATCAGGGGGTAAAAATGTCATGCGATGTAATTTAAAATCGAGGGCACGCAGATCCTCCGCTGCGAAACTCATACCAAGAAGTTATATAAAAAATTTTTAGCCTCGCTTTAACATACAATTGGGTCTTCCCGAGCCGTATAGTCTTAACGAAAATGTGATTTTGTGTAAACCTGTAAATGAGTGTTTGATGGCTTAATGAAGGCGTCTCTGTTATGTTTTAGGTTTTATAAAGCCAAAAGTCTTTTTACGATTAATTCTGCGAGCTACTTGTTTGCATGATAAAACCTAGTTCGACCCCAAAATGAATTGGAGCTCCGATTAACTGAAACAGAACTGGGATTGCAGCTGTACTTGGGGAATACAAATGCTTTAGAATGAAACCAGGAACACTTCAGTACACATGCAGAAATTGTGGAAGATCTGGAGGTCCAAAGTCCTCACAGATTCTTTACATAGTCTTTAGGAGTCCTTTATGTTCCCAGTGAAATTATATAGCCAGCAGCTACAGTATATCAAGCTGCAACTCGCAACTGGCAACCCCCTGAAGCTCAGCAGGCTCCTGGGAAAGCTGAGGTTGCTGCTGGAGAAGGTGTTAGTGGGACCAGTAGGGGGTGCTCACCCTGCGGTCTGTGGATCCTAATGCCCCAGCATAGTGATGGGGGCACTATATTGTAAAAAAGGCTCCGTCCTTCAGATGAGGCATAAAACCAAGGTCCTGTTCTCTGTGGTCATTACAAAATCTCAGGGCATTTCTTGAAAAGAGTAGGAATGTTACCCCAGGTTTCCTGGCCAAATACCCCTGTGGCCTTTACCAGTCATGGCCTCCTAATAATCCCCGTCTCTGAACTGGCTCCCTCACTCTGCTCTCCTCCCCACTGAGAGCTGGTGTGTGGGGAGAGGACTGGTGCACTGTGGCTGCTGTCGCATCATCCAGGTGGGGTGTCACACTGGTGGGGGATGGAGGGGATCCCCATTACCTGTAAAGAGCTTTGAGTGGAGTGTCCAGAGAAGTGCTGTATAAGTGTAAGGATGTGAGATTCCTGGGAAGATTCTCGCAAGAGTTTTACAGGGATTCCGAGGGCTGCTGGGCCCCAGGAACTGCAGAACGTGAGTGTGGGAGGGGACCCTGCCGGCGGGGCTTTGTACTGACGGGAGCGGGTGATTTCCCCAGGTATCTGCTGTACGATGTCAACCCCCCCGAGGGCTTCAACCTGCGCCGTGACGTGTTCATCCGCATGGCGTCCCTGACCAAGACGCTGCTGCGGGAGGGCGGGGGCTGGGTGCTCGTGCTGCCCCCCTGGGGCCGGCTCTACCACTGGCAGAGCCCCGACATCCACCAGGTGCGGATCCTCTGGGCCGAGTTCTTCAGCGTGCCCAGCCTCGACGCCAACGTCCCCGTCATCGAGTACGAGCAGTTTCTCGCCGGTAGGGACTCTGGTTTCCTTCTGCCTGTCTGTTAAGATGAGCTTGTATCCATCCGTTGGGTAACTGCTCCATCGTCCAGTGCCTATCCCAGCAAGCCACAGGCACAAGGCAGGCTACGCCCTGGATGGGATGCCAGTCTATGACAGGGCACACACAGATGCAAACGCACACACACACACCAGGGCCAATTTTGCCTGTGTATTTTTGGACTGTGGGAGGAGACCTGGAGGAAACCCATATGAACTTGGGGAGAACATGCAAACTCCACACAGACAGCACCTCAGGCTTGGAATTGAACCCAGGGCCGCAGCACTACAAGGCAGCAATGCTAATCACTGCACCACTGTGATGTCTGTTAGCCTTTATAGGTCAGCCCAGTCCATTACTGGAGTATAGCTCTCCTTTGTTGTGGACTTTTTACAACTCACTGTCTCGGGAAGGTTGAAAGTATTGCTAAGGATAATCCTAGCTTTCTTTCTTTCTTCCTTCTGGAAAGCCTTATAGGAGTATAAAGCCATGAACCTCCAGATTCAGAGAGAGTTTCTTCCTGCAAGCCGTCAGACTACTGAACTCCACCCCTACCACTGGCTCACACTGATGGGTTTTTTCCTCTTCTCACACTGCTTGTTTGAGTTGTATGTTATTTAACTTGTTGTTGCTGCTTCTGTTGTTCTGTGTTTCTGTTCTGGTGATTCCTTAATGCCTTTCTATTGGAGCATGCACACCAGTAAGCATTTCATTGCACTTGTGCTTATGACCAATAAACTGAACTGAACTTGTTTCGTTGGGAAATGAATTTGAATTGTCCTCATTCTGCCGAAGTGCTCGTACAGCCAGCCGATATTTTCGTGTCTCTGCTGCTGATGGCTCCTGCTCCACTCTCACCTGTCTTTGTTCCCCGGGACGCAGAGTCAGGGGGCCCCTTCGTCGAGCAGGTGTACGTCCTGCAGAGCTACGCGGAAGGCTGGACGGATGGGAAGTGGGAGGAGAAAGTGGACGAGAGGCCCTGCATTGAGCGCCTCATGTACTCCAAAGACAAACAGGGGTACTACAGGTATGGTTTGAGCCACAGCACCAGTCTTATGGCACCTAGACCTTGAAATAGCATTGTACAGTACGTGTCTGGGGTTCTGTCACCTGCACAAACAGACAAACAGTAAAGTACAATGTAAAATACTGTTCTTAGCCAATATTTTTCATTGCATCATTAGAAACATGCTGTGAGCAGGTCAGGGTAACTTATGTTCGGATGTTCACCTCCTGTCTTCCAGTTGCTTGTGTACTAGAAGTAAAGTGACTGCAGATCCTACGGCTTCATTCACCCCAGAGAAGCCTTTCCAGGTTTTCTGTTTATCCTGATTTGCGTGATCTATCAATGTGAGATTGCAAGTGAGAATTTATTGACCTAGAATCACTGCAAATGTTTGTGCTTGCACATCTTGCTTGGATTGTAGTCGTCACTTAGTTTTGTCACAGGGGTCACTGGTTCATCGAGGACTGAGAGAGCCCCCATCTGCTAACTCCCCCCTTCCCTCAGGGGCACACAGCCAATTATGTTCCACGTCTTGGGGAATTCGGGTCACCGCTGGTTGGCGGGAGTGTGGAACAATCTACCCAGCGATGTGGATGAAGCCTACACCTTGGCTTCTTTCAAGCTCCTCAGATCAGTTGGATACTAGTGGCCGAGCTGGCCAGATGTCCTTCTTGTTTGTAGGCGCTCCTGGTGACGTGACCCAGGATCGAACCCATGATCACCGGCTCGAGCTACACTTGGGCAAGCACCTTTACTGGCTGAGCAGCCTCTAAAGAGCTCCGGGGGTACTGTATTTTATTTTTTCAGTTTTTGCTGTTCAGCCTGATTTAATCCTTGGCCCTTCCTTCCTGTCCAGAGGCTGGTTCTGGGGGTACGAGGAGACGAGGGGTCTGAATGTCACCTGCCTGTCAGTCCAGGGCCACGCCTCCATTCTGGCTCCTGTCCTTCTGAAGAACACCACAGCCCGGTGAGTGGCTGTACAGTAGCGTGGCACTGGGGGGACTGCTCTCACTATCGGATAGATGCAGAAAATAAAGACACCCAACACCAGTCCTGGAAGGACTAACAAGTTAATTGATCTGATTATTGGTTAACCTGGACCAGTTAAACTAATTTACCCTGCTCTTTAAATGCTACTTATACTGATTAAGTCCTGTTCAGTTGTGGCCCTCCAAAGTCACGCTCCTCTGCCTGAACCTGAATTTTGAATAGTATAGAAACTCTAAATTAGTTCTTTGTAGACCCCGATTTGAACATACCACCTGTAAGGGACATTTCACATTTATGTCGCTCTGTAGTTTGTCATTTACTAGGTTGGTTTTGATTGGATGAGGTGTTACAAAGCTTGTTGACCTTGGTGTCTTTTGTCTAAAAGCAGGTCTTACTGACAGTTATTTCTGTGAAATGTAAACAGGTTTACGTGGTTGTCATGCAAGAAGCAGTCCTACAGAGTAGATCTGCCTCTTGTCCTCTTTGTGAGGACATGAATCATGAATTCTACAATAAGGGGTACCAGCCCACTTGGTGTTGAATGAGCCTTTTCTGCTTTTAGTGCTAAGAAACTTCAAATAGCAAAGTTTTATTTTTTTCAGGTCAGTGATGCTGGACAGAGCTGAAACTGTCCTTCATGACCATTATGCTGGGAAAGATTATTGGGATGTAAGTTCTGAAACATTAGTTCACTTTAGCTGTGCTGTTTTTGGTTTGTTTGGAAAGTTCTTTGATCTAGCATAATTTTTAATAACATTGTTCATTTAAAATTGTTCATTTTAAATAATTTATAATTCTAGACTGTGTGTGTCTAGAATAATTTTCTGTAGGTTTTGAAGTTCACAGACTTCATTAATTAGAAATAATGGACATTATAATGTTCTGTTTGCATGCATTAATCCTTGCAATGCATTAGTAGCATTTAAGGGTTAAATCTACGGAGTCCAAGGAAAACAGAATTGCATTTCACAGCTGGTTTCCCATTCCATGGAAAAATATAGAATACTATATTTATAATGCTATACTTCTAATGTTGTGGAAGGCATTTTCCAGCTTGAGTGCAAGGAATGTTGTAAGATTTCCTGAAGAGCATTTGGCTCCAGAACTAAATATATTCAATTTTTGTCCAGTTCCAATTAAAATCAAGCGTATGCTGTTCTAGGCGATATGAACCGACGGCATGGGAGAGAAAGAAATTGTTTGCTTTTCCACTGTTGTCTTCTGCTTCCAGTTACATTCCTACCCTGAAGATCGTGAGCCAGTTTCACTTGGAAACGCAGCGTTGAAAATGGTGCTCCCGTGTCAGCTGAGTAGCGAAGTTAATGGTGCTTCTCTGCCCCTAGACGCGCCGCAGCATGGTCTTTGCCAAGCATCTGCGGGTGGTTGGAGACGAGTTCAGAGCCAGGTACCTCAATTCCACGGATGAGAAAGACCAGACGGTTCACGGCGAGGACTGGACACAGATGAGAGTGAGTCTAGGCTGCTGGGTACTCTAGTGGCACAAGGCATCCCAGTCAGAGGAGTCTGGGAACCTAGTAATAATGCACAAATTCTATCACATTGTAGAATGAGGTTTTTTTTTCCTTAATGGTCCTTATTCCTTAGGAATTTTGGTTTCCTGCATTGCAGAATGCCCTACTGTTCAGTCTATTAAACTGTGAACTCAGAAATCAGAGCCAGCTGTGGTACAGAAACCAAGCTCCTCCAGGCCAGACATTACCCGTTTTTACCCTAATAAAGATCCAAGACCGTTATCCTCAATCGTCATGTAAAACTGCTTTCGGAATCTTAATTGAAGAGTCCTTACAGGCAGTTAATTGCTTTCATTTCTGTAGCAATTTTCTTTTTCCGAATAGTGTGGCAGAGTTGCTCCACGAACGTGGTCCTGTCTCTCCCTGCCCTAGGTGAAGCCGGGCACTGCGACAGGCGGCCCGTATCTTGGGGTTCACCTCCGGCGCAAGGACTTCATCTGGGGCCACAGGGAGGATGTGCCCAGCCTGAAGGGGGCTGTGAAGAAGATGCGCAGTATAATGAAGAAATATCGGCTGGACAGGGTGTTTGTAGCCACCGATGCAGACGAAGAGGGTACTGCCACAGTGTTCGCCTTAAATACACACTGTTGATCTCCCTCCCCAATTATTCGTAGTACTTTCTTTAACTGTGTGAGGGCCAGCTTATATCTTTAAATTATCTTGTAGGGCTTGAACAATTAACAATTAAGGCCTCCAGATTTCATTGGAATAGATGGGAAAATAAAATGCTATTACATTGTAAATGAAATTGAAAACTCCAAACTTCTTAATACATCTAGAAAGCTTTTCATTTTCATTTGCTTTTTTTCTTTATTCTTTAGTAGAGTTTTAAATAATTGAATTGTGATCTTTGAAACAATTTTAACAAAGGCAAGGTTCCAATTATTGGTACACATAATAAACAAAACACTTCATTCATTTCAGGTTCTAGATATGACAGAATATGACCAAACCCTTGTTTTTTTTCCAGTTTTGGTTTCCATTGCACTAATCTCTTGTGGAAGAGATACTGCTGTAAAGGCCTCAGAAGGTTACTAAAAGTAGCCCATATGGATCCATCCTAGTGTGTTTGGATCCACCCAGTTAGTTTTACGTTATTTGCTTTATCATCGCCTGCATCCCAGTGAGCCCTTGAAAGAGCTGTGGCCTTTTCTGCTCTGTGTGCCCCCAGAGCTGGAGGAGCTGAAGAGAATGTTGCCAGAAATGGTCCGTTTTGAGCCAACGTGGGAGGAGCTGGAGCTCTTCAAGGATGGGGGCGTGGCCATCATAGACCAATGGATCTGCGCACATGCAAGGTACCGCCTCCTTCAGTCCCCTCCTCCTCTCCTCGTTTCTCCGACTGACACAGCGTTAGGCTGGACTACACCCCCGTATAGTTCTGCAAAAATAAGTCCTTTTATTCTTCTTCCTTCATTAACGTGTTTCTCCCTGAATGAAATAGGAGATTGGTGGGGGGGGGGTTTTCTTGTCACTTTCCTTTTCTGTTTCCTGATTTCATCATTTAACGGCTTGGATATAAACAGCTGGAAGCATGTAGTGTCGCTTCTCTGTTCGTAGGTGATGTGGGTTTTGACTTACAGCTGCTTTCCTTCTTACCTTCCACAGGTACTTCATAGGGACGTCCGTGTCAACCTTCTCCTTCAGAATCCATGAGGAGAGGGAGATCCTTGGGTTTGACCCCAAAACCACCTATAACCGCTTCTGTGGTGACAGCGAGACAAACTGTGAGCAGCCCACCCACTGGAAAATCATCTACTGATCTCCACGCCTCTTTACTTGAAAGTCCTCAGCAATGCTGGAGACGCAAAAACATGACGAGAGGAGTGTCCTTTTTTCATTGGTATACAGAGATTCATCGGCAGATGGCTATGAAGACCATCTTTTGTGCCAAGGTCTTTTTAAACCAACAAGAAGCATTTAATGCTCTTGGTCTACCTGACTGCTGGTACGTCCTCACTGAGTGAATCATGCAGTGCGTTCCTTCAGGGCGCTGGAACGGTGGAAAGATCAGCACCAGATTTTAACATGAAAATTAAACAGCGTATTATTGCTGAATAGTCTAAATGAGATTCTCTAATAAGGTAGGCGTTTCTACAGAACCTTGATATAGTGTGTCTGTCCTAATAAGCGGCGCCCTGCAGTGTCAGATGTCCATTTTCCCCCCCGAGTAAATGGAATTATTTTGCTCTCCACCCCTGGCTCTGAACCCTGGTTATAAATGTCAACTTTCTACATCTCCATCGCCACAACGGGCCACGTCAGACCCTGCATGATGCACAAGACCTTACTGCCACACATGGATGTTTGTGTTTGCTCTGCTTTGTGCTTGGTGGCATTTACACTTTTCGGGCCCCTGTGTTGTAATGTCGGGTCTCCGTAAGAAGGCAAAGTGCTGGAATGACATCAGACCGTTTCTAAAACACTAAATCGAGGGCTGTGTGGCTTCAATGTAGACTATAATGGCCATGAAAAGTCCGGAGCTCCTTGTGATTAGTTTATTGGTACAAAGGTGTTAACTAAATTTTTAAGATAAAAAAAAAATGGGATTGTTGACTTTTTCATGTATTTAAGTAACCATTTCAAGAAACTGAATTTTTAATCATGCAGGAAATAATGGCCAAATCCAGCCGCTCCTACTCAGGGTGCTGTGTTGCAGATGGTAAATGTGCTTTAACAGTCTAACTTGTGTTTTGTTGATTTGGATTTTTCACCACACTGCACATTGTATCCTGATGGACCTGATGGATCGGAGAATAATTTTAAAATCACACTCCAGAGTGTACATTTGTTCTTATAAACAAAGGCCGTCCGACACAGTACATAATACTGAAAAAATCCCTGACTTCGCAGGTTGTCTCCCTTGTGAGCATGTTTACAGTAATTGCCTTTTTTACACAGACTACACTAGAAGAAAAATATTTTGCCACATTTGTGTTACCTCTGCAAATTACAGTATTCACTTTTACAAAAATGAGATGGTGTAGCAGCTGAAATCTTAGAAAACAGAAGAATGGTTAGTAACCTTGCATAATTATCTGAAGTAATCTGAAAGTGTGTGGCGTGTTATGTATTAACCAGTTCAGTGTATACATATTTTGTTTTACATAAGAATGAAGCAGTGGTTTATACACCGTTGCCTGTCTGATTCCACTTTTTTTTTACTTTAGATGTAAATGGAATATTAGCTGTTTCTGCTCTGAGTTGCTGAATGAGGTATACACCATGTGTATGTCTTTCTGTTAACAGTATTTTTTACACTTGCACAATCCGATGTTAATACTGTACATGTATGGTCATCTTCTGCAGGAAATATTGCTTTAAATTGAAATTAAATGACTCTGGTTTCTGCAGTTCTACTCCTGCATTATGGTTGAGCATAAAGAATTACTTGATCCTCATGCTGTTTTCAAACTTATGTAATTTTTGTGTTTGTTAAAAGCGAGAAGCACTTCTCATCATTTACACCGGGAGTGTCCAATCCTGGTCCTGGCGGACTAATATGTCCACGGGCTTTTGATCTGCAGGATGAGAACCTTAAGATCAACCAACTGCTTGTCTTCTATCATTTGTACCTGTCTTATTTTCTCGTGTTCATTCTAACTCTGCTCATAATGAACCGTTTCAATAAAGATTTGATTCAGTTCGTTTAAGCCGGCATCTTCTCCCAGGTCTTCGGCTGCTGGTGTTTTAAACAAGTTTAGAAAATGTGTGGCTGCCGTAGTCCTCTGGGTCTGGTTTGGATAGCCGGTTCACTGCATGATTTACCCCAGGACCCTTTGGGAAAATTGTAGATCCAGGTTTCCCAGGCCCAATCCTTGAGGCAGGGATCACAAACATTTCCTGGAGGGCTTGGTGTCATCTGCTTTTTTCCGCAATCGGAATTACCCAATTAAAAGATTGACTTAATTATTGTGTTGTTAGATATGGTATTTTAGAGTTCCTTTCTCAAAACATTCTCTTTACTGACAGTACAGGTTACCTGTGATATGCCACAGTGTTAATTAAATAATTAAAACAACTATGTAACTGCACAGGTGGAGTGTTAAAACAGAAGATAGTAGGCCCTCCAGGAACTGAGTTTGAGACCTCTGCCTGGAATCTATCATGTCCCTAAAGATGCTGCTCTTCATAGCAGAGATGTTAATTACACCAATTAATCTCTTTTCTGTAGCCTTAAGCAGTTAAACTTTGATGATTAATTATTTAATTCTCTTATCTCTGAAGCTGTAATTGAAGAGACGTGAAAGACCTACTGGTTTCTGGAACCTCTGGTTAGAGTATTTTATGATGTATCAAGGTGCCAAATTGATTTTAGGAGTCTGTACTATGTTTCCAGAGGTTCCTTACTTGAATTGCCCAGTTCGAGTGGAGGAGTAATTTAGTAGTTTTTTAGTAGTTCTGGAGGGCAGCTGCATCGGCAGGTGTAGGCTGCAAAGGAACAAGTAATAGATGCTGAAAAGAGAAGAAAGAAAACACAACGTTTCAGCTTTCATACTGGCCGGTTTAAAGATCATTTTGTATATTGTTTCTTCACGTATAATTAAACTTAAATTGTTCCACTTTTCTAACATGCACAGGTTAATAGCTCAGTGATTATAGGTGAAGCACCTGTTCACTTCTCCTGCCAAACCAGGAGCCATCTGCCTTGGTATCTCCATTCCATGCCATCACGGGACTTTGTTCCCTCCAATACATTTATTACTGAATTGATACTTTTCTCGAATACTGAATGGCTTAATCAACCCAGGTGCTAAAGACCACTTTAGTGGAGCAAAAAACATGCTGGGGAAAGGAACGCATATGCCAACGTTCAGTAGCCTTTCTCCAGAGGAAAACAAGATGGATGGGAAGACAGCTGCTATGTATTATACTGTCTGTGATTGACATTCTATATTGGCAAGGATCTGGCGTTTGAAACAAATGTCGCACAATCCGCAGTGTGCTTGTACTGGGGGCATAGCCACGGGTGGACCTGGGTGGGCCTGATTGATCCTAGGCCTACCCAATTTTTTTCCCCCTTGTTTGCGTTACATGATTGATTTTTTTTTTCATTGTATGTGATTTGCTATTGGCTCGCTGTATCTTTTGTGGCCAATAAGAACATGATGTAAATATCGTGGGGCGGGGCAGGCGTAGCGGTAGCCTAATTGGCTATCGTTGTCGTCAGACGCTCTTGGAGCTGTAAAGCGCTAGGTTTTGGTTTAGTAGCCAACATGGCAAAACAAATGCATAGATCTACGTTTTTCAAAAAGTCGCCTGTACATAACCAGTCCAGTCCCAAAACAAATAAGACACGTGAGATGTTACAGGCATCTTGGGTTTTTAAGAGTACAGCCTGGCTCCCCGAACACAAGTGTGTCTTGCGTGTAGCAGCTCGATACATGCTCGACCTGTAGGAGTTGAGCACGAAGAGGTTCAACAATTTCTCCTGTATACAAATTACAAGTTTTGGAATGCATGAATAACATTAAGATAATATTGACGGATAGATGCAAGTGTGCATTTTACAGATACTGTAACTATTCAGATCGCCTCTAAATGCCCTGCAGTATTTTAAGTGAACGACGTTTACAGATTTAAAATACATCCAAAGTATGTATTTGACGCATTTATTAGCAGACCATTCTTGCAATTAAAGGTACGATTAATTGTTGAGCATTGTAATGCGACTATAACAATTCAGTGTTAAGTCTTGTGGAAGTCACGAATTCCCACATTAGGTGTCTTTAGGCATCGAAAAGAGAATACTAATTTCGTGGGTTTCATACAAATTTAAAAGCATCATGAAGGATCAATCAAGATCTTCAGAACTCAGTTTTTATTTTCATGGTGCCTCACTCGACCATGAAACCTCTGAAACCTATACGTGCACGTTCTTCTGGTATGTTACGCTCAAGTCCGCTTAATATTTAAAGGCAAGGTAAAAGCTCCGTGAAGTTGCCCCACCCTCTACAGACAACACAAACGATTAAACCCATCTCATTCGTCAGTGCTACGTTTGTGCCGTTGAAAGTAGCGTTTGTGCTGCTTTCGTTACCGAGATACAGAGCCTTGTGTTTCCGGTGATCATATGACCATGCACGGTGAGTTTGATCTCCAATGACCCCGTCTGCCGAGTTCAAGCGCTCTGTTACAGTTTAGCTCGTACCCTTAACATTTTAAAGACAATCAATATCCATAAACATATGAGTCTCCTTAGATGTGAATAATAATAAGACAGGACGCATGCCTACAAGTTAACCATCTATGACGTAAACCTGTGGTTGTAATGTATGTAAAATCACCGTGATTGTAAGATCTATGGTTTTTATTTTCTAAGGCACGTTTTCCTTTACTTTCCCTATCATGACACGCTGTTGCCAAACACGTAACTGTGGGATACCTTCGCGACATGAAATAACCAGATAGGACGTGTCGCGATATATGGACTTTGTGTCGCAACATGCGTTCAGCATATCCTGTCAGAGTATCGCAACATATGTACTCCATCTCGCGACATAGGGGCGGGGCAT